TTTCTGAAAAAAGTCATTTTTGCCGAATTTTCACATATATGACCAGTTTTTAGAGCGCCATCTATAAATTGACTAATATAAATCATTAGAAATGTTGAACAACTGTTCAACAAACATGAAACAATCGATTAGAAATCTTAAAATACCCATATATCTTGTACAACTAATTTTTTTAGCTTTGTACCCCGGTGTGGCCGCTAAGGGTTAAAAACATAATTTTATAATTCTGAAACCTATAAAATATGTGGCAATTGTGAGATATCTGTCTAATATATCACGTAAAAGTGTAAAATAATTCTAATCAAACCATGTCGAATCGTGTGCCAAGTATTAATAAAAGTAACTGTAAAATTCGTTACCGTTACCAAAAAAAATGTAACTACGCTACTGTTATAGTTATTAAGAAAAAAATAACGCAGTTACCAACGAAGTTATCTAAAAAGTAACTTGTAGCTGTAACTTTGTTACAAGTAACGAGTTACTTCCATTTCCTGCAATTGATACAACCTGCAGTATCAAAATGATTACTTAAATACAAATATCATGTATATGTTTACACGTATTGCTGAAAATAAGATAATTGAATAAAAAAAATTACTCGACCTGACTCTCTGAGTCAATGGTCTGTTCTGTTTAGCTGCGAAAGAAGAGCTAAATTGTGCAAGAAATGCAGCTAAAAAGAACAGACCGTTGACTCGGAGTCGGGTCGAGTCAGTTATTGTCAGTAAATCGAATACGCTAAAAGATGGGATGACTCTTGCCTCGATTTGTGCCTCTGCTGGAAAGCTCCCAATGAAAGCTAAAATGCTGCATCATACACGTATCATGCGTGAAACGGAATGCATCCTAAATATTCTCAAATATATCGATTCAATTCCAAATAAACACGAATTTATTTTTCAGATTGGCAACGTTGGCGCCCAACGCAATGCGATCAAGACGACGCGATGCGGCGAGAATCTGCCTAAATAGTGCTGAAATTGAAGGAGATCGAAGCGACAAAGAACCTGAGAAGGAACTTCCGGCGTTCTTGTTATGGTTAATATCGAAAACTGCCTGCAGTTGTCGTCGTTGTCGTTAACCATCGTTGTCGGTGTCGCGGGTGTCGTGCGTCAATTGGTTAACGGATGTAACAATGGCGGAGACGACGAATCAGGGAGCTCGACTCGTCGCGGCGCGGAACCGCTGCGGCGTGACGCGGAAGTTGTCTTCCTTTCCTTTCCTTTCCTTTCTCGTAGGCTAAGCCGGCAGCACACCGGTCATTATTTAAGCCACTATCCAAGTACAAGCTACGAATTCGTGCCACGCGCGTAGAATATCTGCTTGCAGATCGTGCTCCGATTTCGGTTCGTAAACCGGGAGACGACGCACCCTAACGTAGCCGGCAGTCGGCACCGAGGTCTAGGACACGGGCTCGCTTTGTCTACCTTGAACGGAGACGTGTTCGAGGAACGCTTGAGAAATCACGATGGCGGCAGCGGTAGATTTCCAGAATCAGCCACAGACAGACGGTATGCAGGATCAATCAGGGAACCAACATCCGAACGATTCTCAGAATCAGGAGCACAGTCAGCATCACTCGTCACAATCTTCGCAGCAACAGGCGACCGCCGGTATCCCTGGCAAGGACGATGAGCGAAAGCTCTTTATTGGCGGCTTGTCTCGAAATACAACCGATAAAGAGCTGCGGGATCATTTTGGCAAATTTGGCGAGATCGAGAGCATCTCGGTGAAGGTCGATCCCCATACTGGTATTTCACGCGGTTTCGCGTTCATGGTGTTCACCAATCCAAAGACCATTGATAAGCTTCTTGCATCAGGCGAGCATTACATCAATAAGCGCAAGGTAACTGGAGTAATACTACTAGAATAGGCAAGAGATTTACTTTGCTAATTTCAAATTTAATATTGAGAAGTCATACGCTGCATTCTTACAATTCTTTGCAATACAGCGAGAGATATAGATGATACTTTCACCGCCTCGTGTCTGTTCCATTGTATCTATATACTAACAGCATTTTTTTTATATATAGGTTGATCCAAAACGTGTTAGTAAAAAACCTCAACATGGTAAAATCTTTGTGGGTGGTCTTACTCCCGAGATTTCTGACGACGACATTAAGAACTACTTCAGCCAATATGGTACCATTGTTGAACTACAGGCACCTTTCGACAAAGTTAAAAATCAACGTAAAGGCTTTTGCTTTATCACGTTTGATTCGAAAGAAGTTGTGTACAAGTTATTGAAGACACCTAAGCAAACGATTAATGGTAAGGAGGTAGACGTAAAGAAAGTCAAGGTCAATCCGGACCCAAGAAATCAGGGCTTCTGGGCACCTGGCTACGGATATGGATATGGTGGCGGTTACGGCTACATCCCCGAATACAACGGTTATCATAACTACGATGACGTGTACGCGAACTACGATTACGCTGGTTACGATGGCTACGACAATATGGGATATGGTCCCAAACCGCGAGGTAATGGTCCGGGACCGCGTCAATTTCAGAGACA